GCCATCGCAATCAGAGACGGGAGGGACTCTAGCGAGGCTCCCAGCTGCGCAGGAAGAACTCCAGTCCAGGGATCCTTCTCCTGAGGCTTCGCCTCTCTTGGGGTGGGGCTTCTCCGGCAGTGCCTGTGGGAGGAGTCTGTAGCAGGAAGCTCTAGGCCTTTGGAAAACTGCAAACGTCTTGAGGGCGGTAGCTACGCCATGCTGTCGCTCAGCCTTTTCCTGTGTCCCGCGTGCCAGAACTTGGCCCGGACCTGAGGACGTGGAGCGCAGCAACAAGACTGGTGCCTACAGAGTGGTCCCGAGAGATCCACCCCAGACAGCAAAAAATAAGCTGGGGCTGACGCGACAGGGAGACTTAGAGAAGCCTGAGCAAGGCTGGGCCTAGCCCCGACAGACTGGGACATCAGGACTGGGGGACGACCCGCCGAGTTTCCTCGTCCCGCCGAGTGGTGGAGCGTGCTCGGAGACGGCGGACACACCAGAGCACCACTGATTCCCCGAAGGAAGCCGTCTCTGCTGTGTTTGGCAGCACGTACTAAGGAACACCAAAGCAAAGGGGCTTCACTTTGAAGTGGGCAACAAAGCGGTTGGGGGAGGTCACTTCTCCTGTGGGGCGGGGCGAGGCGGAGGGCGGTGTTAGTGGGACAAAAGCCAGTAGCAGGATTCTGGGCAAGTCTTTTGGACTGAGTAGTTTTTGCTTCCTTATCGCTTCTTTTTTTTTTTTTTTCCGTGTATGCTGGGATTTTTTTTTTACCTTTTTTTCATTACATTTATTTATTTTTATTTGGGGCCACACGTGGAGGTCAGAGAACAACTTACAGGAGTCACTGGGCCAGTTTTTTTTTTTTTCACTTTGAGGCGGGATCTCATTCATGTAGCCCAGTCTGACCTCGAACTCCATAGTTGGCTGAGGGTGACCTGAACCCCCGACCCCCTGCTTCCGTTTCCATTTACAGTTGTGCACAAACGTGCCCTGTTTATAATGTGCGGGGGATTGACCCCAGGGCTTCCTACGGGCCAGGCAAGCATTCTGCCAACTGAGAAGCAGCCTCATCCCTTTGGTTTTGGTTTTTTGAGACACGTTCTCTCTGTAGATGAAGATGGCCTGGAATCCATGGCACTCCTTCAACCTCAGCCACCCAAATGACCCAAAGTACTCGCTCACGCCGTCATTCTTGGCTTCTGGTCCCTCCTTTTTTTTTTTTTTTTTTCTTTTCTTTTTTGAGACAGGGTCTCACTGTGCAGCCCTGTATGCTGACCTGGAACCCAATATGTAGGCCAGTCTGGTCTTAAACTGATTGATAGATGCACCTTCCTCTGCCCGCTGCTGAGTGCTGGAATTAAAGGTGTGAATCACCCTGATGTCTCTCCTGTTCCTTGGACTGCAACCCCCACCCTCCCACACACACCCTGGGCAGGGCCTCATTCCTTAGTTTAACTCAGTCCTTAGAGCCTGCTGTTTGATAAACAACACAATGTAGATAAATATTTGTCACATGAATGAAAAAACAAGCAAAGAAGCCTACTCACAGAAGGCAGCTCTTGTCCCCAAAGGGGCACAAGTCTGTCCCAATTTAGATATGGAAACTTTAGAGTAATTTGACTCTTACATGGGTTTAGCAAGGTTGAAATCTGGATTCATCACTTGATTTTTTCTGGCTCCGCCCACTCCCCCACCCTACCCAAACTGGGAGGTGAAGGGTTAATCCTTGGAAGCCCCTTTATCCCTTACCTGAAAGGGATGGGGCAGGGAACTTCCTGTCCCATTTTCTCCGAGTCTTTCCCCAGGGTAGCCTACGCTGGCTCTGGTCCTGGATCCCACCAAGGACCCCCAAACATCCTCAGGAGTAGGTACCTGGACTGGTGAGTTGGAGGGCTGGGATATAGGTTTACATTACTTCTGTGTGGAGAGTGAAAGGGGTTTCAGGCCCTACTGGTGGGTTGCTGGCTAGAACAAAGTCTTAGGAACGAGGAGGTAACTCTGCTGAAGAGACCAATGCCAGGCAGCGTGATGCGTTTGTGGTCTTGGGGACCTGAGAGAGTCCTAGTGGTAGCGGCTACCATGTGTTCCCAGGTGGATTGGTCAGCACTGGTCCTTGTCTAAAGAAACACGGCCACCAAAGTTGGGCAAGTTAGACCACTAGAACTATAAGCAGTAAGCAGTTAGAGGGTTATTTCTTGTAGAATACCACTCAGGCCTTAGATTTCTGCAGTGAGTGGATTTTTATGGCAGCACCAACATACAAATTAGACCCGCCAGATTCCGGCTAGTGATTGAGAGCCTTCTCGCCCCACACCCAGCCAACCCCCTGCAGGGGTGCATATTAATAGGGCTTTTGTCCTGGAGACCTGGGGGGGGGGGGGAAGGACAGACTTTCTAAGGCCAACTTGCCTGAATTCCATCTCTTGGAAACCCATTGGCGAGGCCTCACCTAGAAATTGCAGCTGCTTGGTGTAGTTAGCTTGGCTGTGACTTGAATTTGGAATTCTCTTAACCGTGACAAAATCTCATAATGCAGGATGGAGCTAATGGGCTTCCGTGGTAGTGAGCCTCAGCTGCGCCAGTTGTAGCTGTGAGTAAACCGTTCTTGGTCCTCTGAACTTGCCAGAGTGAAAGCTTGATGTAGCAAGTGGATTGGAGCCGGATGAAGAGAGCATCAGAACACTGCCCAGGCTGATGATGCTCAGTGTGCACTGGTGTCTAGTGCAGGGCGGCCGGCCAGAGAGAGTTCATTTTCTTTTTTAAAGACTTATTTATTTTATGTATATTGATGTTTTGCTTGTATGCACATCTGCACACCAGAAGAGGGCATCAGATCCCATAAACAGCGGCAAGCTGCCATGTGGGTGCTGGGAATTGAACTCATGACCTCTGGAGAGCAGCCCTCTAGTTATTTTTCATATGCTTTTCTAAACAGCGAAATGAAATTTTATTTTCTCTGTGTGAGAGAGACTAGGGCTTGGTGTGCAGGCTAGGCAAGTACCCTACTTCTAAGACATCTCCAACACCCCTTTTGTTTTTCATTCGGAGGAAGGCTCTCACTAAATCGCCCAGACCAGCTTTGTACCTCACTCTAGATGGGAGTCCAGGCAAGCCTGGAACTTTTAATCCTCCTGCCTCAACCCCTGCCTAGCTTGATAACCCTTTCCTGTTTCTCTTTGTTTGTTTTGTTTATTTGTTTTCTTTCTTTGTTGTTTTCTGAGACCTGGTCGTGTAGCTGAAGATGACCGTGAACTTGCGATCTCTCTGCCTCTGCCTCCCGAGTTCTGGGTTTTGGGGCATGTCTCACTGCCTCTGGTATGTGAGTGCTGAACTCAGGACTTAGTGTGTGTTTGCTAGGCTAGCACTATATCTACAGAGCTACATCCCAAACCCTACTCCCATGGTTTTTGAGTGTTCATCATATATCATACACCCCTTCTGCCCTGACCCTTACTATATTTGTTCTTCAATTCTTAGAACTTCTGGGTAGCCATTACCATTGCTACTTCATTGCACATGTTCAGTCATTGAAGTTGAGTCACTTCAAATGCCAGGCAAAAACTTTTTGCTTGGGCCAGGCTAAGGGATTGCAATGAACAGTGAGTGACTGGGGTGGGTGGTGTGTCTTAGGGTTCCGGAACAGAGGCACCAACATTGGAAGAAGTAACTGCAGTAGGGAAAGCACTTAGGGTGTGAATGTCTAAAGTACAGGACAGAGCCGGATGGGACAGGCTGTGTGTGGGAGTTAAAGCGCCGAAGGGAGAACACAGATGGGTCATCACTTACGCGCCACATCTTCTTCCTTCGCCAGCTTAAAATCGGGTTCCTTTGTTCTGTAACAGAGCCCCGCAAAGGGAATTAGAGAACTCTCCACCCTGAACACTATACAAAATTCAGGGCAGAGGCACTTTGCCTAGCCCATTAGCCTTGAAAACGTGTTATAATCAATAACAATGAAAACAATATCCTCAAGGCCTGCTCCGATTACGCCGCTGCTGATAGAGTGGAAAGTTAGGCTTGAGCATCTGGTCCCATCCACCTATTCAGCCTTTCCACTGTTAGTCGGTTTGTTCTAAGGAACTTAAACTGGTTGACGTGTAGCTCAGTAGTAGAATTATTTGCCTAACATTTCTAAGAGTTCTGGGTTCCAAGCCTGACGAGGAAAGAGAAGCTAAAACCTTTTAAGTATTGCTGAATTGTTTAACTGAGCTGGACCGAACTGATTGAGTAGCCCTCTGGGCTAGAGGGCAAGGTGGGAGGAGGGGCTTGTGCCTGTAGAACTAGTGCCCCCTGGTGCTCAGTGATAAACACTTTCCACCGCTAGTGGGAATTGAGTGACTATCCCTGGTGAGGGAGAGCCAGAGCTGTAATCCCACTTGGGAGGTGAGGACTGAATTCAAAGCTGGGTGGCGGTACTCTAGTTACTGTCCAGCCCACAGCTTTGTTGCAATGTATTCAATAAACTTTTTCAAAAAGAAAAAGAAAGGAGGCGGGTATAACTCATGCAGAACAGTTCCCATTCACAAGCATTTATTTATTTGTTTGTTTATTGATTGTGAAGAGCCCAGGTCCCTTTCTGAAGTCCTGTGGGGAGGATCTTGTTGAACTGGTTCTCCAAGCTACAGACCTGAAAGGACTGAAATGAAAAACAGTTTTTTTTTTGTTTTTTGTTTTTTTTAAAGATTTATTTATTATGAACACAACACCCTGCCCCCATGTACGTCTACACACCAGCAGAGGGCACCAGATCTCATTACAGATGGTTGTGAGCCACCATGTGGTTGCTGGGAATTGAACTCATGACCTCTGGAAGAGCAGTCAGTGCTCTTAACCTCTGAGCCATCTCTCCAGCCCCCGAAAAACAGTTTTTTAAAAGACTTATTTATTTTTACTTTGTATGGCTAAATGTTTTGCCTGCGTGCATGTATGTGCACTGCATGCTTGTCTGGTATCCCCAGAGGCCAGGAGAGAGCACTGGATCCCCTGGGACTGGAGTTACAGGTAATTGTGAGCCATCATATGGATGCTGAGAAACAACCTTGGTCCTTTACAAGAGCAGCAGGTGTTCTTAACCTCTGAAAAGGCTGTCTTTCAGGTTCCAAGAGATACTGCGTTTTTCTGTCCTTAAATCTCTCTTCCACAATGCTTCACGCCCCTGGTGGCTGCATCAGGAGGAGCGAAGTGTAGGTGAAAAGTTAACACCAAGAGTCTGTAGGACGATCATGCAGAATGGTCCTGTTTCTGTGTGTGTGTGTTTGTGAGGGGGGGGCGGGTGTATATGCACCTTGTGTGCATACCTATGGGAGTGCAAAGAAAGACTGCATTGAGTATGCTCCGCTATCTGCTTTGGTTCTTTGAGTTGGGTCTCTTTTTGAACCTGGATCGTGTTTTTCAACTACACTGGCTGCCAGCAATCCCTACTGCTCCTCTTGCCTCCCATATTGGTAGGGTTTCAGTCACGTATGGGAATATGTTGATTGTTATGTGGACACTGAGATTCAAACTTTGGACTATGTGCTTTCGTGAAAAGTGCTCTTGCTTACAGAACTATCTTTTTTATCTTGAGACAGGGTTTCTCTGTGGCTTTGGAAGCTGTCCTGGAACTAGGCTGGCCTGGAACTCACAGAGATCCGCTTGCCTCTGCTTCCCGATTGCTGGGACTAAAGGCGTGCACCACCACCTGGCCATATTCCTTTTTTTTTTTTTTTTAACACCTGTAACTCAGACAGGGGTTAGAAGTATAACCATCCCCCCACCTTTCTTATCTAGATAAGGGTGGCCTGGAATTCCTGATCCTTGTCTCCATATCCTGAGTTCTGGGAAAACAGGCATCCGTTTCCGGCAGCAGATCTTCACTAAGGGTCTTCAGCTCCACAGGTGTGGGAGGAGCTGAAGAAAGGGACTTAAGAGCCAGTCTGGTTTCAGGAGGTGTGAAAGATGCTGGCAGAAGCAGTCCCAGATGCCCTGGAACAAGAGCAGTTTGGAGCAGTGAAGTTGGAGGATGATGATGCCCCTGGCGAGGAGGACCCCAGGCGGGCAGAGGCCAGGCCTCGGCCCGAGGTGGCTCACCAGCTCTTCAGATGCTTCCAGTACCAGGAAGATATGGGGCCGCGGGCATCCCTGGGCCGCCTCCGGGAACTCTGCAACCACTGGCTGAGGCCGGCACTGCACACCAAGAAGCAGATTCTGGAGCTGCTGGTCCTGGAGCAGTTCCTGAGCGTCCTGCCTCCGCACGTCCTGAGCCGCCTGCAGGGCCAGCCGCTCAGAGATGGAGAGGAGGTGGTACAGCTGCTGGAGGGTGTGCCCAAAGACTGCAGCCACGCAGGGCCGCTGGTGAGGTGGGGCAGGACCATGAGCTGCAGGGGTCGGGTGGGTGGATAGAAGCTGGTTACCTCAAGAAGAAAGCTCTGCAAATTCCACTGGTCTCCATCTGTGACTAGAGTCCTGGAGATCATGGGGCCCATCACAAAAAAGCAATGAGCAGAGATAGGAATTGATTTCCTTCAGTGGGCTTAGAGGATAGCAGATTAACATCTTAAACAAAACGGAAAAACTGCCTTCCATCTCACCTCCAGGCAGCAAGAGGTGGGTAGGGGCGCCAGTAAAGCTAGTCAGTCATTCAGATTCAGTGTCATCCCTGTGGTCACATTTCTTTTTTGAGGCAGGGTCTCTCTGTGTAGCCCTGTCTGTCCTGGAGCCCTGTCTGTGGAGGTTATTCTGGCTTTGAATACACAAAGACCAGCTTGCCTCTGCCTCCCAGGTGCTGGGGTTGAAGTCATCCACCATACCCAGCCTCTGGTCACATTTCTGATGCTTATCTTGTCTGGGCTCCTCATTATCACCCCTGCACTCCTTTCTTGTTCTGACATCTGGGGCTGGGCACTTCCTAAAACCCAGCCTCTAGTTAGTTTCCACAGTTATCATTTGGCTATCACGGAGGGTTAACTTGGAACAAACCATTAAAAGTGTGCACATGCTAAGCTACTAATACAGGTAGATTCCTTTCTACAGTATGAAGTGCCAGTGTGTTCTTATAAAGTAGAATATAAATGTGTCCCTTCTAATCTCTGTCCCCTATCGCCCCACCAACTCATTCTTACCCTCTTAGCTGTGTGACTTTCTGTCTGTCCTATCCTGGTAGACTCAGTAGACTCATGCAACCAACCTGTCAGCCTCCTAAAACAGATGTTTTCAACAGGATTTTAGCTTCAGTGCTGGCAAGAGTGCCTCCGCAGCCATCACATCGGAGGGACAGGATAGCCCTTCCCAGGTCCCTAGCCACAGCCCCAAGAGGGAGCTGCCCTCGGAAGAGCCCCCAGCCCCGGTGAATGAAGTACCCCTGTCTCAGCCAGTGCCCACCAGACCTGCTGAACCTGAGGAGTGGAAACTTGCCCCAAGCTCCAATTGGCCAGTGAGCCCAGAGCCCCAGGGCGCGCTCCAGGACCCGCAAGAAAGCGGTGAGGAGCTGGTGTCCTGGGAGGCAGACCGGATGTGTGGGTGGGGGCTGGGAGTCAGGGAGACGTGTGTGGTGGGAGAGTGCTGGGCTAGCTTTGTGGTTTCCAAGGGTGGGTGGGTAATCAGGTGGGTCGTGTCTTTAAAGCCACATAGCTGGCAACGCTGCCTTCTAATAGCAATGTCCTCCTCTCCCAATGCTGTCAGACCCCTCCCAGGGCCCCTCATGGCTTGAGGAGAATTCCAGAGACCAAGAGCTGGCAGCTGTGTTGGTAAGCTGAGCCCATCCCTATCACAGGTCCTTGTCTGGCTCCAGAGTGTTCTCTGCCTTCTGCCTTTTAGCTGTCCATGCTTCCTTCTATTGAATCCCAGAAAGTACTTCCACTTCATGCAGGCCACAGGGCCCGCTCTTCACTCAGAGGTGTCTCTGCTCTTGTTGCAGGAGTCTCTTACCTTTGACGACACCTCAGAGAAGAAAGCTTGGCCTGCAAACCCTCTTGGTAAGCCCCTCCACAGTCGTGGCTGCTGAATGCTCTTTGTTCATGGTTCCAGATACCATCTGACATTCTAACCTTTTGATGGGTTGATGCTGACAAGGTCTTCAGTTTTGTTCATTTATCTTAGTGCCACCCATAAGCAAATCCAGGACCTTCCCCTTCTTCCTGACAGCTCCTGTTCCTTGTGTCTGGTTTTTGTTGTTGTTGTTGTTTTGGTTTTGTTTGGTTTTTGTTGTTGTTTCTCAGTTTTGTATTGTTTTTTGAGACAGGGTTTCTTTGTGTAGTCTTGGCTGTCCTGGAACTCACTCTGTAGACCAGTCTAGTCTCATCTTCCTCTGCCTCCCAAGTGTTGGGATTACAGGCATGCACCACCACCACTGCTGGGCTCAGTGGTTGTTATTCCTAGGTATGGTCTTCAACTCAATATCCTCCTGACTCTGCTACCTGAGTGCTAGGACCAAAGAGGCCTGCACTGCTACACCCAGCTGTTCTTCATTTTGAGCTTTAAGTGGGTATTTAAGGACTGCAAGTGTAGCTCGGTGTAGAGTACTTCCCTAGCAAGCACAGATTCTAGGTTTAATCACCAATAACAAAAAGGGTAGGAGTGGGATGCCAGAAAGAGGGCTCAGCAGTTAGGAGCATTGGCTGATCCTCCAGAGGACCCTAGCTCAATTCCCAGCATCCCCATGATGGCTCACAACTGTAACTCTAATTCCAGGCCCTCTCCTGGTCTCTATGGGTACTGCATGCATGCATTGCATGTACATACATGTGTAGAAAATATGTTATACACATTAAAAATGGGGGGGGGAATGGTCAAGAAATAGAACTAAAAGAGATAACCCTGATTGTTGTGAATATATTTTATGAACCTAAACTATACACTTTAAAAGGATGGGGTGGAAACAGGCATGGCGATGTTTGTGATCCCAGCATTTGGGAGGCTGAGGTGGTGGGATTCCTAGTAGGCAATATGAGGACTGAAAAACATCAGGGATCGGGAGTAGAGAACAAAGACTTTTTGTTTTTGTTTGGTTTTTCAGGACAGGGTTTGTCTGTATAACAGCTCTGGCTGTCCTGGAACTCACTCTGTAGACCAGGCTGGCCTTGAAAGAGACCCACCTGCCTCTGCTTCCTGAATGCCAGGACTAAATGCCTGTGCTGCCACCACCTGTCAAACAAAGACATTCTTATTTGTCCTCAGGCTCTGCACATCACCATTTTTACAGGATTCTGGGTTTCTTTCCACTTCTGGACCCATCAGAGTTTGATGATGCCTAGAAAGACCCTATTGATAACTGTGTGGCCACTACCACCTTCTCCCCCGTCTCTATCTCCTCCCCCTCCTCCTTCTCCCTTTTCCTCCTCCTCTTTTCTCCTTGGTGGTTCTTGTTTTGTGACACAGAGCCTCTCTATGTAGTCCTGCCTGTTCTGGAACTGTCTATAGACCAGGCTAGCAGTAAACTCAAACATCTGCTTGCCTCTGTCTACCAAGCTGCTGGGATTAAAGGAGCACACCACTGTTTCCAGCCATCTGATTTGCTTCTTTCCCAGAATTTAGGAGCAGAGTGCCTGACAAGGAGGAAATTAGATTTGAAGAGCCTAAAGCGGCTGTTTGGCCTGTCATCATTTCAACAGAGTCCCAGGCAGAGAGCCCTGGAGTGACAGGAGAGCCTCTTTCCGAGACACTGGGGCAGGAGGCAAGTGGTGCTGGTGGGGAAGGGACCCCTGCGGGCAGCAGTGACTCTCCGGAGGGGAGAGTAGCTGCAGGTGCCGCAGAGTCCGAGGCAGAGTCGCAGTTTATATGCCCGGAGTGTGGAGTGAACTTCCCGCAGCTGTCCAGCCTACAGGCCCATCAGCTACAGTCTCACTCGAGCCCTCGATCTCAGCCAAGCTCGCGGTCCTTCATGTGTCTGTGGTGCGGGAAGGCTTTTGGGCGCAGCTCCATCCTCAAGCTGCATGTGCGCATACACACAGATGAGCGGCCACACGCCTGTCACCTCTGCAGTCACCGTTTCCGCCAGAGGTCACACTTGGCGAAGCACTTGCTAACACATTCCTCTGAGCCTGCCTTCCGGTGTGCTGAGTGTGATCAGGGCTTCCAGCGTCGCTCCAGCCTCATGCGGCACCTGCTGGCACATTCCCAGGAACAAAATCCCACGCCAGACCCAGAGAGCACGACAAAAGTGCAAGAGAAAGCAGTTGTTCTCTGTTCCCACTGCGGGCAGACCTTCCAAAGGCGCTCTAGTTTAAAGCGGCACCTGCGCGTCCATGCAAAGGGCAAGGACCGTCAGTCCTCGGAAGACCCTGGCAGCCTTAGCTCTCGCCAGGAGAGCAAGCCCTACGTGTGCAGTGACTGTGGCAAGGCTTTCCGACGAAGCGAGCACCTGTTGACCCACAAGCGAGTCCATACCGGCGAACGACCCTTTTCCTGCCATGCCTGTGGCCGCTGCTTCACCCAAAGTTCCCAGCTGATCAGCCACCAGAAGGTACACACAGGTGAGAAGCCTCACGTCTGTCCCCAGTGCAGCAAACGCTTTGTGAGACGCGCGGGCCTTGCCCGTCATCTGTTGACCCACGGTGGCCTCCGGCCTTACCACTGTGGCCAGTGTGGCAAAAGTTTCACCCAGATGCGAGACCTGACCCGCCACCTGCGCAGCCACACAGGAGAGAAGCCCTGCCGATGCAGCGAGTGTGGAGAGGGGTTCAGTCAGAGTGCCCACTTGGCACGTCACCAACGCATCCACACGGGAGAGAAGCCTCACGCCTGTGACACCTGTGGTCACCGCTTCCGCAACAGCTCCAACTTGGCCCGCCACCGCCGCAGCCACACGGGAGAAAGGCCCTACAGTTGCCCAACCTGCGGCCGCAGTTTCCGGCGCAATGCGCACCTGCAGCGCCACCTAGTCACACACACCTCGTCAAGACAAGAGATGGAAGACCCCCAGGAGTGCCCGGAGTGTGGCAAGAGCTTCAGTCGCAGCTGCAACTTGCTACGCCATCTGCTGGTCCACACAGGCGCAAGGCCCTACTCCTGTGTGCTGTGTGGCCGTGGCTTCAGCCGCAATTCGCACCTGCTGCGCCACCTGCGAACCCACGCTCGGGAGACGCTGTACTAACTTCACCGGTGTTCCAGCAGCCGTGTTCTGCATGCACCTCCCTACGTGAATAAGATTCCCTATGATATGGGCTGGAGAGATGGCTCAGAGGTTAAGAGCACTGGCTGGATGCTCTTCCAGAATTCCTGAGTTCAATTCCCAGCAACCACATAGTGACTCAATCTAAAATGAGTTCTAGTGCCTTCTTCTGGCATGCAGGCAGAACACTGTATACATAATAATAAATCTTTAAAAAAAAAAAAGATTCCCTGTGATGTCCTCTTCACATACCTCCTCTTGGTTCCTCCGCATTTTGCATCCCCACCTTTGACCTCTTTTCCCTAACCCCAGGAATGTGTTTTCAGATGCTTTAAGTAAAGTTACCTTCGCAAAATTGGTCCTGATTTTTTTTTCTTTTTAGAGCAGTGTCTTGTATAGCTTGGGGTGACCTTGAACTGCTGTTCTTCCTGCCTCTACCGTTTTTTTTTTTTTGTTTGTTTGTTTGTTTGTTTTGTTTTTTCGAGACAGGGTTTTTCTGTATTGTTTTAGAGGCTGTCCTGGAACTCGCTCTATAGACCAGGCTGGCCTCGAACTCACAGAGATCCGCCTGCCTCTGCCTCCCTAGTGCTGGGACTAAAGGTGTGTGCCACCAACGCCCAGCTTTGTTTTGGTTTTGCCTCTACCTTCTGAACGTTTGGATTATAGATATATGCCCAGCATATGGTTTATGCACCGCTGTGTATCAAACCTAGGATCTTCAAGGCAAACACTCAACCAGATGAACTGCTTCCCCTCTGCTGAGGATCTACCCATGTTAGGCAAGGGAAATAGCACTTCTGGCTTTTATTTAAGACTAGCAAAGTGCCATCAGTCACCACATGCCCCCTGTGACATGGTTCCATCTTTGTCCTTCATGACTGCATTAGTTTTCCTGTTGGCTGAAAGGTTAGGGTGGCAGCAGTGACAGGCAGTTGAGGGTAAAAGTCCAACATGGTCACCTTGGCTTGGATCAGTGTTACCCAGCATAGCATCTCAGGGCCCTGTGGCTCTTGGAACTAATTGGGATAGAATCGGGTTAAATTGGGGTGGGCTGGGAAACTTGGCCTGGAGCATTTGTAACTTTCGCAGACTGAACAATGCCAGCCATTGAGCAAAACCTGCTAGCAAGGCAAATCAGCTATGTGTTGAGACCAGCTAACCACCCATAATCCTCTAATCCAATGCTGGTTTGGATATTGGCCCGATGTTAGTATCACACATCAGGAAGTCTAAGCTGTGCCCTTGCCTGTAAGTCAGGTAACTTGTAAGAGCAGGATAAGAAAAAGGAAGGAGTTAGAAGTATGACTCTAGGACTTCTGTCACATGCTTTTCCTGTTTTTGAAGTTGGCTGTTTTGAAAAGGCTGTATAATTGTGTTTTCTTAATGCGGACTTCTCCTTGAAACAATGCTATTTCATAGCAGGAACTGAGCTCCACCCAGGGCTCTCCCAAGAGCTGACCATAATAATGGGGGAAGTACAAACTCTCTGTGTCTGTGTGTGTATATTGCTGGCTGTCAGACCTGGAGACCCATGTGCTGGGTCTGTGTTTCACTAATGAGATGCTCCTCAACCCTGAGATGAACCTTAGGCCCAGTCAGCAGCAATCTAATCTCTGCACAAGGTACAAGCCTCAGGAGGTTGGAAAGACTAGTATGTATGTAGACTTTACCTGGTTGTCACAGAATACTTTATTTCATTAAAGGTCCTGGAGAAGCAAACATCAAACAAAAACAGAATTAGTCAGTGAAGAGGTTGGGGAGTGAGCACCCTCAGGGTTAAACTGTATCAAGATAAATGTGTACCAGGCATTATGTTGATTTATTGAAGGGGACAGAACCTGAAATGCATCCTTCCAAGGGACACAGAAGTTATTCTCTCAGAGGACCAAGCCGTTGGAGCCAGCCACCAAAGCAGAGGCAGAGGTCCTAGCCACACTGTTTAGCAGTTTAAAGGCTCATGTGGTCAGAAAAAAGAAAGATCCAGTCTCTAACTCTAATGCCAGGGAATCTGAAGCCTCTTCTGGCCTCCAAGGGCACTGTATGCATGAAGTGCACAAACGTATATGCAGGTAAAATAATTATTAGACAATAGAGCCAAGGAAGGTCTCACACACAGCACTCTGGGAGTGGAGGTAGGAGAATCATGAGTTCAGGGCCAGTCTCTGCTACATAGGGAGTTTGATACCAATCTGATTCCTGTCTTTAAGAACAACAATAAAACAAAAGATTAGGAGTCAGGCCAAAGGTCGGGTAAGGCAGGTGCTTGGCCCACCAGTCGATGTAAGGGGTTGAGTTTGTATTTCATCATCTTATTATATTTATATGGTGAAACAGTTAAGAATGGGCAGCCCCACATGACTTCATTTTGACAGAGGTCTCTATGTACATACTCCCAGGAATGTCACCTCCAAATAAGGAATGATCCTTGTTGGCTGCAACCACTTTTGTGCATTTATTTATTTATTTATCTGCCTGTCTATTTATCTATTTATTTATTTATGTTCTTTGAGACTGGAACTCTTTACATAGCCCCAGCTGCTCACTATGTAGACCACTAACCTTAAACTCACAGATATTGGCCTGCCTTAGCTTCCTGAGTGCCAGGATTAAAGGTGTGTGTCTCTACCCCCAGTTGCTTTGCCTCCAGGTTTCACTCTAAGGTGCATCTCTCCATACTTCCCCTCAAGCCTGATCCCACAGCTACTGCTGGTGTTCACCACACTTTTTCTTGAGAACTTCTGGAAGCATCCTGTCACTTACTACTGCAGCTTTAGATACACTGCTCTCAATCGAAATACTCCAATAAACATTGGAAGCTGGTTTCTTTTTTTCTTTTTTTTCTTTTTGGTTTTTCGAGACAGGGTTTCTCTGTGGCTTTGGAGGCTATCCTGGAACTCGCTTGGTAGTACAGGCTGGTCTCGAACTCGCAGAGATCCGCCTGCCTCTGCCTCCCGAGTGGCTTGCGCCACCAACGCCCGGCTGGAAGCTGGTTTCTAAGTGCCCGTCCTGCTGTGACTCTTGCCAAGGGTCCCTGCTCTTTCATGATCATTGTGAGGAGAGGCCTGCGGCAGCACAAAGGCATCTTCACTTTAGGAAGCTATGGTGAGCCTTCTCAGGAAGGGATGACACAACTCTACCAATAATGTTACTGGGCAGATTTTTTTCCCTTCAGTGATCCAGTACAGAGCCGTGGAGTGGCATCACAGCCACCTCCAGCCTCAGCAATACTTTAAAGGACAAATCCAGAGAGAACAGCTATAAGGTCATCACACTTCTAGGGATTCTGGTTATGGTGGTCTCAGTGTGGCAGTGTAGAGTAAGAAGGGCCAAGGAAAGAACACCCTGCCCTTGATTTGACCCCAGGACCAGGGCTTAAAATCCCACCAATCCCTGAGCTTGACCCAGAATCAGGCTACTAAAGCCCACCAATCCCAAGCCACCCTGGAAAGATCCGCCCCCATCCTCCCCCAAAGAAGTCCTACATGAGGTCTGTACCCTGTTCAGTTTGGGTCTGTTTCTCACCTGGGGCAGCCACCCTCCTGGATTCTTCCTTCCCAATAAATTTCTTGAGTGAGGTTTGTTGTGGCGTGTGACATTTTCTTGGAGGGAAACCCAGCTGTGACAGCTTTCAGGAATGAAGTAGAACTACTGTAACACTTTGACTGGGGAAACTTTCCCTTAGTGGAGCAGACTTGTCACACTCCAGGGACCTGAGCAGAGCTGTAATACCTTCTCTGGGGAAGCCCTCTGCTGCTGGAGCAGAGCTGCTACACTTCTATTGAGGAAACCTCTCCCTGGAGCAGGCCCTTACCAAGGACAAAGAAAGGTTGGGTGATGATGGGTGATGATGGGTGGTGTGCTGTCCCTTGCAGCTAAGGAACTGTGTGGGACTGAGACTACTCACAGGCCTTATCATTCAGGATTCTATAGTGGAACAGAATAGAGAGAATGAATATATACTAAAGGGGGTTTTATGGCTGTCTCACACGGGGGAGGCCGAGAGCCCAGAAGTTGCTCCATCCATGAGACCGGGTAGCTCAGCAGTTCCTATGTGGCTCTAAATGCCTGCAAAATCCCCAGAGAGCTGCCAGTATATAGTCTACAACCAACAGAGGAATACAGCAGTGGCAGCAACAAGGGATGAGCTTGCCAACAAGAGTGAAAGCAAGCAAGCCAAAGGCACATCTTTTTTCCCATACCCTTTTATCTTAGCAGCCACCAGAAATTAATGTCCATATTTAGAGTGGGTCTTCAAAAGTTCAAATGATCTGATCAAGTCCTACACAGAAGTTCATGCCAGATTGTGTTTTAGTTGATTCCAGATTCAGTCAAATTGACAGCCCAAGATTACCTTCTAACTTAAACAGAGGTTTGCTTTCTAGTATGCGACATGTACGAAAGCCCTTGGGCTGGGATGCTATTATCATAGGTAGTATATGGCTAAGAGGGCCGAGGAAGACCCCTTCTTCTGGCTGTCTCCTTCCCTACTGCTGGAGTCATTGGGCATGTGTTGCATTAAACAGGCCCTTTGAGGAGGTCCTGCTGTCAAACACTTGGATGGGGTTCATGAGCAGCTGGCAGTGCGTGCTACTCAGTAGCAGCATAGACCCCAAAACTCCCCAGAACGGGTGCATTGCTCTAGCTAGTACCTCCATCAGAAGTTAGGCTCTCAGAGGACCAAGCCGTTGGAGCCAGCCACCAAAGCAGAGGCAGAGGTCCTAGCCACACTGTTTAGCAGTTTAAAGGCTCATGTGGTCAGAAAAAAGATTACAGATATGCAGTAAAGATCCAGTTGGAGCCGGAGTTGGTGGCACACGCCTTTAATCCCAGCACTGGGGAGGCAGAGGCAGGAGCATCTCTGTGAGTTCCAGACCAGCCTGTCTACCGAGCAAGTTCCAGGACAGGCTCCCAAGCAATACAGAGAAACCCTGTCTCGAAAAACCTAAATAAATAAGTAAATAAATAAATAATCAAAACATGTCATGTGTATTTTACCTGCTCAAACATAAAATTGAAAAATCATCTTCCACACGTAGTATCGCCACACCCCGGAAATCTCAGTTGATTTATTATGTGCAGCACAGCAGGAGGGGTTGGCTAAGCTCGGCCCAAGGTCTCTGTAGAGCAGCAGTCTTAGGAAGCAAACATCCAGGAGAGGGAAGCTGCACTGCTAGATGTTTGAAATCTGATCAGCCACTTTTAAACATAATTGGGCCAGAGGAAAGGCAACTTTGCCAACTTCAAGCCTGGCACATGGGGACTGCTTTGAGCTCTTGGTCTTGGTCATGGCTGCGAATACAATACGCATTCATTCAGGATGTCACTCACTCAGGGCTTCCTCTGCAACCCATACTC